CATGGCAAATGCCGTGGACTTAACCCTGAAGTCCCGAACTGTTACGCTAAACCCTAAACCCTGAATTCCTGAATTGTTCTCAAACGCCTCGGCTCGGATGACAACCATGGCTCCCGGTTGCAGGACGGTCCGGAACACCTGGAGATGCGGGGTTTAGGGTTTAGGGGTTAGGGTTTAGGCTTCTACGAGGGGTTGGGGGAGTTTAGCGTTTCGGGTTTCGGGCGTATAAGATTCTTTTAAAGGCTTCTAGATTTGTTTAGGGCTCATAAGAACCTCACAGGTTTCTAGAGTTGTTCGTTGCGGGCGTGTAGGGTTGAGGGTTTAGGGTTTCGGGTTCGGGGCCTTGGTTTTTTCCTTAAATCCCCGTAAGTCTTGGGGTTGCTTAGGGATCCAATAGTCAAAGGGCTTTTGTGGTTTCGGGGTTTAGGGTTACCTTCAGGTTATATGGTTTATGTATAGACATCGTGCGCACACACACACAACAGGAACAGCAACAGCAACAACGATAACACGATAACACGACCACCAACAACAACAGCAACAACAGTTCGAGGATCAACATCAAAAATGTCACCACCACCAGCAGCAGTAGTAATTAGTCACTACTACTACTACTACTACTACTACTACTACTACTACTGCTACTACTACTACTACTACTACTACTGCTACTACTACTACTACTACTACTACAACAACTACTACTACGACGGCGACGAGGAATGCTACCACTCCTACTCCGGTTTTACTTTCGTGTTCAAAATTTCTCCCGAAGCCTGGGACTCGTCCTGCGCCGTGGCCGGGCACACGGAGAGCAGTGCCGGGTTGGGACCGAGGAAGTAGAACAGTTTCTGCGCAAGGAGGCTTAGGGTTTAGGGGTTTAGGGTTTAGGGTTCAGGGTTTAGGGTTTAGGGCTTAAGGAAGGTAGGATTTTGAAAGGGTTCTATTTAAGGGCAAGTTCTACAATTCTGCAAGGGCTTCCATATCGGCTGATAAATTCTACAAAGGCTCTACTCCGTGATTCTGTAATTTCAGAGGCCCTATCTGGGCTCTCGGGCTCCTGGGCCTTGAAGTTTGTTTTTGGGAGGGTTTAGGGTTTAGGGTTTAGGATTTTTCAACTGCACACGTTCGCTACGGCTGCCGGGGGGGGGGTTTCAGGATTGAGAGGGACCCAAACCCAAACCCTAGGCCTTCAGCCCTAAAACCCTGAAAACCCAAAACCCCAAAACCCTAAGCCCCAAAATCCTGAACCTATGTAAACCCTGTACCCTGCATCCGAAGCCCCTGAAACCCTAAACCCCTAAACCCTAAACCCTTAACCCTAAACCCTAAACCCTAAACCCCAAACCCCAAACCCTAAACCCGAAACCCTAGGATTGAGGATTTGGATTTTGGGAGTCTTGGGATGGCAGGCTCAGTTGAGGCGCTGGGTTCACGGATGAGGCGTCGGACGGCTTCGGAATTCGGGCTGTAGCCTCATAGATTCGGGTTTAGGGTTTAGGGTTTAGGGTTTAGGGTTTAGGGTTTAGGGTTTAGGGTTTAGATTTACATAACTGACATATGTATGATACATACATATGTGTATGTGTAGATATATATATATATACAGACATATATTATACACATATAGAGGTGCATAGGTATATACATGTGCTTATACATACACACACATATAGGACAAAAAGCCCAGTTTTTCTACAGATGTACGTATGGGTACACTTTGGCATATGTTTGCCTTTGTGTATTGGTCTGTGTATTCTTGTTTAGTCATTCTGGTTCTATCCATGCCTCAGCTCATACTCGTACTTACATGTCAACCTGTGTTGGCTTTCATGTTCAGCATCTTCATTTTCATTCCTATATGTTTAAGTTCATACCTACATCGGTACTTACCTGTGTAGTGTCACTAGAACTAGAAATATATACATGTAATATATATGTATACACATATCTGCCCGTAAGTCTTTCTTGCTCATCGGCTTATGCTCCGTCCTCACAAAAAACAACAGCACCGTCGAAAATACAGGTCTGATAAAACCCTAAGCCCTAAACCCTAAGCCCCGAAACCCTAAACCCCTAAACCCTGAACCCTGTCGGGCTGCAAGAGGCTCACTCTGGGTGTCGAAGGGTTCTAAGTGTCAACGGCCCTGCACATCCAAACGCTGAGAGTCCAGTCTTCAACTCCAGTGTAGGGTTTACGGTTTTGGGTTTAGGATTTAGGGGTTAGGGTCTAGGATCTAGGGTTTAGGGTTTAGGATCTGGGGTTTAGGGTTTAGGGTTTAGGATCTAGGTTTTAGGGTTTAGGATCTAGGGTTTCGGGTTTAGGGTTTAGGATTTAGGGCTTAGGCGAAAGCCCTCTGCGCTAAGCCAAACCCTAAACCGATACGAGCACCGAACCTCTTCGACAGACCCTTGCAGGCAGAAGCATCGCAACTCATTTTCGAGCGAGCCCCGCCCACTCATCTGTCTGTGTCCCCGCAACACAAATTTCAGCACCCGGCGCTGGAGGAAACACCCGGGTCCGATAAAGAGCGCTACGAATTTCTTAGCGCTAAACTGGGGTCCAGGGCGGCTACACTGCCAGACGATGCAACCCTCTCAGACACACGGAACTCCGAACTCTGTCTATGGGGTCGAGGCCCGTTCCTGCAACCTCGGGGTTTTCATGAGTAGCTTACTAGCACTACTGTTCTTACTTTACTAAGACACGAAAACCGTAAAGGTTTGGTATTCCTCCAGGCACAAAGGACGAAGAGCCTACAAGCGAGCTTTCTTTGCTACCGGAGCATCGATCACGTGAGACGTGTCCATGAAGCCGAACGTGAAATTGTGGGACCACTTCCTTGGTAAAGGGTAGTTTTCTAAATCAGGATCCCCTTTACAACTCTCTTGATAAGGATGCCGTACTATTTTGGCGACCTAGAAAGGAACCCTACCTTAGAGAACTACCCCATATGGCTTCAGGAATAGAGAACCCTTACGCTTCCCTACACTTGACCCAAACGCTAATATAGGGCCTTAATAATTAGAATAGGCTTTTGGGGTATGTTATACTGTAATTATAATAAGGAAGCCCCAACAGAGTATAGGTAATTATTTAGGCCCCAAGGTTAAACCCGAAACACTAAACCCTAAACCCTGATCCGTACGCAGAGTTCAGGGTTTAGGCATTTGCTGGAAGATCCTGTTGCCAAGCTCACAGGCTTAGAACTGTTAGGGATTCGGTGTACCAAACGTACACTCCATAAATTGGTTTAAGGTTTAGGGGTTAGGGTTATGTGGTCTGGGGTTTAGGGTTTAGGGGTCTATAAACTCTAAACTTTCAACCCTAAGCATGAGCAGTTCGAACCTTTGTAGAACCGTTACACAGCCCCTGGAAACCCTGTAGAGTCCCTGCCAAAAAACCAGAGAGCCCTGGCAGAGTTCTTATCATGAGACCCCAACTTGGAGGTCCAGGGGACTTAGTAAGTCGGTTATAAGTAGGGTTATAGTTGGGGTAACTCCAGTTAGGGTACTTATAACTCTAATTATTACCTACTTACTAAGTCCCCTGGGCCTCCAAGAAGGACCGCATAAAACCCTATGAGCAACATCTTGACACCGTATAAACGTCTATATCGTACCCTACTCACAAGACTTAAAAAGCCAAGAGTCCGCATGCAAGCTTCGGCCTCTCGAGAGCCTCACAGGGCTTTGGAACCAGGGTTGAGGGTTTAGGGTTTAGGTTTTCGAGTTTCAGTGTTCAGGTTTGAGGGTTGAAAGTTCAGGGTTTAGCGGGTGACATTTCTTGAGGATGCTACAGGGCGGTTCACGCTCTACGAGGCTTCTGGCCTTAATATAATTTTGAGCTTGCAGGTTTGGGCTTTCAAAGCTCCGGGTGTGAGGGTTAAGAGCTTACAGAGCTTCGGCGTGTGGGGTTTAGGGCTTGGGGCCTAGGGTTTAGACAAGGTGACAAGATCGAGTCTGAAAACTCAGTGGTGCAGATGTAGGGAGACTGTCTACGTGACTTCTGCAGATGAGGGCTCGCAGTAAAAAAACACTTAATCAGAGTTTAGGGTTTAGGATTTAAGGCTGAGCCCTAAACCCCAACCAAACTTGAAACCCTAAGCCCCAAGTACAAGGCAAGAGCCGGTGTATCAGTACAAGTACGCTCCCAGGTCAAACCCGGCCATCCAATTTACCGCTTAGGGCTCGGGGTTTGGGGAAACCCCTGTGAATCTTGAACGTGCCTGCCTTATTATGTGGAGCTGGGAACCCGAAAACCCTCAACTTTGAACCCGCCAAACTGGAAGCCCCAAACCCTAAACCCTAAACCCCTAACCTGAAGCCATAAGCGCTAAGCCAGTAGACCCTAAACCCCGAATTCCGAAGGCCCTAGAGGCCGACTCCCTATACACTGAACCTCTAAACTCTAACCTCTCAACCCCTAAACCCTAATATAGGGGCCTGAATAATTAGAATATGGTTTTTTGGTGATATTATACTGTATGCTATAATTACAATAAGGAACACCACAATAGTCTCGGTAATTATTTAAGCCCCTATATTAAACCCCTCAACCCCAGATCCAAGCCCTCGAAATCCTAAAATGCACTCTACAAAACTCCTGAACCAAGAACTCAAGTCCCAAATTTCTCAAAATCGTTTACTATTGCTGCTACTATAGTGAACCCCAGAAAGTTGGAACATGGACCTAGGATGATTAGTGCTAGGATCCCTTGTGTTTTACCTTAAGAGCATGGGGATAGTGATGTTCCAAATTTCTGGCTTCTGCTCTATTTCCGTTACTATATTTTTATTGCTGATGCTATTACTATTACTAATTCAGTATTATTTGACTGTTGTCATTGTTGTTGCTGTTGTTTGTTACTATTGACCTTACTACTACGATTGCGACGGCTAGCATTTTTCCCTGCATAAAATTATTACTATTATTATTCTTGTTGGTTTAACTATTGTGGTGCATGGTCTTATCTTCAGGGTTCGGGCTTTCCCTGTGCCTTTGCTGAGGTCGTCTTCCACGCGTGTCAAGGCGTGCGGAAAGAAACCTCAGAGAGGAGAGCTGGATTGGAGGTTTTCATCTTTCTTCATTGTGGGATTTGGGGGTTCGGATTCACGCCCTTCCATATCAAGTCCCAAATTTTCTGCCGAGGCGCTGTGCACGGGATTCTTTGATGGGTTGAAAGGCATGGCCTCCCCAAATTGAGGGGTCAGCCGCACGATCTCACACCAACGTCGCCTGAGGGCCGGCAGAGGATTTAGAGTTGAGGGCTTGGGGTTAATAGCTGGCTCTTCAGCATTTCTTCCAGCATCAGCAGTAACCGTTGTGGCGGCGGTCGCCGTGGTCGTCGTGACCGTCGGAGGTCGATGTCGGTGTCGTGGTCATGTTTGCGCTTCAAAAAACTGATCGCAAAAGTTGCCCGTATCCCACGTCTCCAAACAAACCAAAATCGAAAAGCCAAACCTGGAAGCTGAAAGAACCCCTAGTATACGCGGTTCTGTAAACTAGCGCACCTTCTAAGCCACCACAAAACCTCGACGACCCTCTTACCCTAAACCGTAAACGATTCCCCCTCGCTTGCGAGGGGGGGGGGGGGAAATAGGTCCGGTGGCCTATTTCCGAGTGTAGGGAGGGGTTTAGGGATTGTCACTGGGGCATATGCCGGGTTGTGAAAGGATAAGGGGGATCGCTTGGAGAGTGGCTATTATATAGGGGTGCTATACTTACCTAAAAGATGGGAAAAGCTTAGGGGTGCTATACTTACCTAAAAGATGGGAAAAGCTTTAATCCTGCAGAAGCCTTGTGGTGGAGATATGGTGGAGATGCTTCACTGATGCTTCCGGCTCTGCGACTCACACTCGCTCTGCGATCCGACTCTCTGGATTGGCTGGCGGTGCTGGCGAACTCGCGAAGTCGGTCGACCCCCAGCCGAACGAGTGCGATTACGAGCACCGGATGGGCCTTTTAAATTGAAAATGTAGCTACTGCTGCAATTTTCAATTGCCTGCCTGGGCCAACCAAGCTTACTTCTTATTTCCCTTCCCATCCTCCGCCGGACACGATCACGTCTACAACGTGATGACCGGCGGCGTTGCCGCCGCGATGTGACACAAGAAAGTGTGGAGCTCTCTCACGGATTCCGCTCTTCAGTGCATCGAGGGTTTTGGTTTCGTGCCCGTCCCTGAAAGCCCGAAGCCCCAACCATGCCAAACCCTGCTGTTCGATTATCGATCCGAGCGCCCCCTGGTCGGCAAGTGCATGATGAATTTTCCGTGGACTCTTTGCCCGAATCGATAGCCCTTTCATGTCATTGCACTCACTCAAGAAGAGTGCAGGTGCTCGCTGCACCAGGTGACACCACTTCTCCTTTTTCTGGCCTGAGAGCTTCACGTACCCTTCGGCATCCACGAACTTCAAGCCCTTTTCCTCGTAGGAAGCCCGCAGCAAACGCATGAACTGGGCCAGCTCGGTCGCGAGAGTCTGCCGCATGAAACAGCGATCGATGAACTGATTCATGCCATCACCGGCCGGCTTTTCGGCTGCAGCCTTCGCAGCAGCCTTGGGCGCTCCAGCTGCCTGGACCGGGTCTGCAGGAGGGGTCGACAGGGGAATCTTGTGGACGCAAACCATGACATGCATGCTGGACTCACTGAGCTTTGCATGCAACCGCAGGCCACTGGACCATGTCTTACAGGTCACCTCGCCATGCACGTAGTTTGCAGGTTCCATCATCAACATTGTAGACAAGCATGACGTCTGTAACTCAATGCCCGAAGTCGCTGGCACCGAGCTGAGAAATGCAATAGGGAGGATCTGCGTGGCATCCGCTGGCAGTGGACATGCAGTCTGGCTTGCTGTCCGGACCTGTGTTCCCGCTTCCTTTCGCTGCAGATGCACTGCAGGCCGCCGGCAGTGTCTGGGTGTTTTTTCTGGACCGCCTGCAGAAGCATTAGCCCAGGCCGTGCTCCGGGCTACTCGCTGATGCGACAGATTGGCCATCTTCCTGGCAACGTCGTGCTCCCTTTGGTTCCAATCGTTGACCTGCTGCTTGCCGTCTTCCAAGATAGCTTTGCTGAGGATTATTTTTCTTCGAGTCTGGAGGCATGCATCCCTCCCATGGCACAGCTTTCACCTGCAAGGTCATTGGGACATGTGATTCATGCCCTTCGGGCGGCAGGACAGAAGCCTCATCCACCTGCCACCGGCACCGGCGGATCCTCGGCCACCTCTGCAATCTCCGCTGCGGGCTTGTCATTGCTGCAAAGAGCCTCCACCTCCTCCGTCACAGCGGCTCGGTCCCGGCATCCACAGTGGCGGCATCCTTGCACTGAACATCCTGGAGAGCGACCTCCACCATATCTGGTAGCAGGTCACCGGGGTCCTCCGCCTCGGCCATGGATTGAGAGAAGGATTGGCCTTCCTGTCCCAACCAGTTCCGCAGGCCATCGTAAAGATCATCGACGCTGACATCGACACAGATGAAGCTCCAGAACTGAAGGCAGCGTCGCAGTGCCACCTGACAGAGTTTGGCCAGGTCGTCCACGGAGAGGCTCTGCCGGTCCTGCACTGTGCACGGCTTGTCCAAGGTCTCGGAGTTCATTTCTGCAGAGCCTTGGCAACCGAGCCGTTCCGTACAGCATGTCCTTGAGTGTCGGGTTGCCCCTGAACATCATCTCCACCCCGAGCATGTATCTGGGCTCGTGGTTGCTGAGTGAACAGTTCACGGCATCAGCGGCAGCACTGCACATGTTGCGGAGTGTTGTGTGCGATATGCCGTCGTTGGGTGCACGTCCTCTGGCCTGGCTATGCCGAAGATGCAAAAGCATCAGGAAGTAAACACTGAATGCATTGCAGCCCATCTGGCTCTGGATGAATCCTGGACTGCCGCTCGTGTAACTGCACAGCAAAGCACTGATAAGACAGCGAGCATGACGGCCGGATGCACTCCAACTACGAGGAACGAAGGTGACGACCGCATCGCGGCAACTGCATCGCTTTGCTTGTTGACACAAGTGAAAGTATTATGAGACATGCCATTGTCCAGCTCGCACGCCAAGTCCACCCACAGGTCACCATATCAGGCTGTTCGGCGACCCAGGACGGAAAAGATACACATGCAAGTTATCTTGTATTCTAAGACCCTAGAAGAAATCAATTAATAGAAAGGGCTACCACTGAATAGCCTAGATACCTGACCTTCCGAATCCCACTGCAGTGCTGCAGGTTGTACCATTTTGTTACCCATTGGACGGTGTCATCAGGAAATCGCCAAAGTATGCAAAGGCATAAGGCCACATCTTCTACATGGGATTTGTGAGGCTGAGGTCCTTCCATTTCTGGAAGCTGCAGTCGTTCATCTTCTGGCAAGAGCCCCACTTTGGTGTTGCAGGTGGCGCAGGTGGGGGAGAGTTGCGCTGGGTTCCCCCGGTGTGTCCTTTTGCGGGGCCGGCCTGGCTCGGCAGCCACGAGGTGCCCGCGAGCCGGAGGGGGCGAAGGCGGGTGGCGGCGCTCACTGCCACTGGGAGAAGCCAGCCTCCCTTGTTCCGGCTCCTGCACCTGTCCACCCGCAGCCTCTCAGTCCTGAACGCGAACCAAAAGGTAACCTTCGTGGAGCATGGCAGTCTCTCTGTCTGTCTGTCTATCTAGCAGGGCAAACAAAATGCGGGGACGGTCTGTTAATTGAGTCAAGACCCACCACAAACTTGACATACATACATACATACGTACATACATGCATGCTTGCATGCATGCATGCATACATACAAACATACGTCCATACAAACACCGACCCCAGACAAACGACCCATCGCAACACCCCTTCACAGACCTATTTCCAGTCCAGACCCTCCCCGCCACTGTCAACGAGAATAGGTCCAGCGTAACCCGGAAATAGGTGGGGATTAGAGTGACCCCCCCCCCCCCCAGCAAGACCTGTTATTAAAGGGGTGCTATCGTACACCCTAAACCCCTAAACCCTAAATCCCTAAAGAGCCCCTAGAGCCGGACTTGCCTGAAGGCTTCCACGAGCGCTTCTTCAAGCTGAGCAAGCTTCCTTGGATCAATGCTTAAGGTTTGGGGTTTAGGGTTCAGGGTTTGGGGGTTGGGTTTTAGGGTTTTAAGGTTTGGGGGTTTAGGGTTTGGGGTTAGTTTTAGGGTTTAGGGCTTAAGGTTAGGGTTTAGGGCTGGGCTACCCCATGCATAGCTACAACCCCAGATCCTACGCAAAAGCAAACCTCCTGCTGGATCATGCACCCGATTACAAAATCAGGCACCCGGCACCTAAAACTCCAAGACTTGAAACTAGAAGCCCAGCCTCAACCCGAAACCCAAAAACCTAAGACGCCCAAGCTTTAGAAGCCCTGCCGACCCTACCCTAAACCCTCGAGCCCGGGAAAAAAAAAAAAAAACTTGCCTGCGGCTGAAGCTCAGTTGGCCGGCTATCTTCATGCCCGCCTCGAAGTAGTATGGGCTCTTCTCGCCTGGCGACTTTGGGTTCCAAAGGCGTTGGGGGCCAGATGGTGGGGTTCTAGCTTCCGGATTCTAAAGCCTAAACCCTAAACCCCAAACCCTAAACCCCAAACCCTAAACCCTAAACCCTAGACCCCAAACCCTAAACCCTAAACCCTAGACCTATTTCGCTTTTAGGGTTCTGGCATGGAGGATTTCGGGGGCTTAGGGCTCAGGGCCTGAAGATGAGAGTCAGGCCCATGGTTCAGTCTTCTTGGGGCTTCTTGAGATGAACGGCTGTAGGTTTCGGGAGTATGGTCTTGACTTCTGGTTTAGGGTTTAGGGTTTAGGGTTTAGGGTTTGGGGTTTAGGGTGAAGTCTGTTTTTCGACTCCAGACAGAAGTATGCAGAATGAGAGAGAAGGGTGCAGAATGAGAATTAGTTTGACTTTAAACCATCAGTTGCGAAGTTCAACGCAAGCTCCGACAGCCAAACACCTCTCACCGAAACCTAATTACACCCTTAACCCCGGACCCTAAACCCTGAAACCCGGAAAGGTTTAGGGTTTAGGGTACGAAACCTACACCCTAAACCCCGAACCCCGCACCGGACCCTAAAACTTTAAGCCTGAAAGTAGGAGCTGTGCCTAGTCGACAGACCAAAGGGTCTGCGCGGAGGCTCTCCTGCATCTCTTCGGCGAAGATCACCTTACAACATATCCAATTTTCACGTTTTATTTGCGCGGGGACCTAAACCTAAAGCCTACACGCCCGGGTTTGGCTGCTCGAGCTTAAGATTTCCGTCCGGTTGAAATTGACTACCGTTAAACAGAGCATGAAAGAATCGAAACCTAGACTCTAAACCCAAAGCCCCAGACCCTAAACCCTACCCTTAAGCTACCATAAACTACCTTTTTGTAGACTCTCGTTATAAGCCCTAACATTGAATTTGTAGGGATCCTACAAAAGGCTTTGTGTCAGAGTAGGTTTTGGTAGTTTAAGGTAGACTCCTAGACCCCACACTCTAAACCCTAAACCGTCCGTGCCACCGGCAGCTCGAGCTCCACCACATTCCGAAGCGCCAGCATGCGCGCGACTGAGAAGGGCGCAGCGACCTCTTGGAGCGAATTTAGGCTTTAGGGTTTATTGTTTGAGGGTTTAGGGCTTAGGATTCGTCCCTTTTCGGGCTCCTTTAAAGGGGTTAAGGGCTTAGAGTTTACGGCCTGTCGTTTGGGGAGTAGGGTTTAGGGCTTCGGGATTTAGGTCATAGGGTTTGGGGTTGCGGGTTTTGGGTTAAATGGCGTAGGGTTTTGGATTATAGGGTTTAGGGTTTACGGTGCAGGGGTATAATTACCCTATCTATTCAATCGTGTACTTGTCTCCGCACGTGTTGAAGCAATGAAAACATGAATGAGCGAGTTAAGGGTAAAGAAGTGTACACCTCGCAGTGAATCGTTTACCCCTTCACTGTATCAATCTGTCTCAGAGCTCGTTGATCAGCTAGTTAGCTAATCAGCATGGCAGCAAACTGGTCAGCTAGTTTTGCATAAGCGACGGCAAGGAGATACTGCAGCAAGAGACCCGAAAGGGAGCCCCTTACTAGAAGAATGCCCACCCTCCCCCCAACTGAAAACCCGAAACCCTCAGCCTGACCCGCCTAAACCCTAAACTGGGTTTAGGGTTTAGGGGTTTAAGGTTTAGGGTTTATCGGTTTAGGGTTTTGGGGCAACCCTAAACCCTAAACCCTAAACCCCAAACCCTAAACCCTAAACCCTAAACCCCCAGGGCCCCTTCAAAGGATGGAAAGCAAAGCTCCGACCTTGACGCCGGCTTTCAGATCCCGGGGACGGGAGTTGCCGCTGCTCGGATACCTCACAGCGACGAGCTTCGGGTCTAGAGCTTTCGGATTGAATGTGTAGTTTAGGGTTTAGGGTTTAGGTTTCGTGCGGAATTGGGGTGTTGCTTCGGACTGTGCTTGATGACTGTAGCTCCAAGCACCTCAGTAAACCCTCGCTTCAAGGTTTAGAGGATGAGGTTGAGGGTTCAGGGTTTAGGGTCAAGGTTTGGAGGATGAGGGTTTTGGGCTGAGGGTTATAAGACCCATAGTATTGGTTATAAGACTGATTACCCTCCAGGTTGGGGTTTAGGGTTTTTGGTTGTCCCAGCTTTAGGGAACTCGATGCCTGTCAGACCAAGCAAGAGCAGGCAGAGGTCTTGACAGGAAGTCGTGGGTCTGGGGGTTAGGGGTTTAGGGGCTTAGGGTTTAGGTTTCTTTAAGAGTCTAGGGTTCAGGGTTAAGGGTGCAAGGGTTTAGGGGAATAGGAACAAGAGTAGCTTCCGCGAGGACTTGGAAGCCCTACACCGTCCCTACACCCTTAAGTGCAGTCAGATTCGCAGCACGCCACCGCCCCAGATGTCGTAGTTGCTCCGCATCATGACTTCTTGCTCTTCTGCCAAGATTTCCTCGGAGAAAGCGCCAACACATCCGACACTCAAGCTAGGAAATAATCTGCAAGCCCCCTCAAATTTCCATGCGTCGGGGTACATGACCAAAGTCATCTGTATATATAGGTATGTACAAATATACATACTAAAAGGGAACAGTCATACTAACGCCCTAAGTTTGCATGCGTTCAGATCTTTATAAGCCCTTGCGAACCGAGACTTCTACCTCCCACAGTGAGGAGATGCAAACCTCACCAGAACACTGCTGAGGATGAGACGCTGTTGTCCGTGGACACTCCACTCTACCCTACTTGGAGGCCCAGGGGACTTAGTAAGTCGGTTATAAGTAGGGTTATAATTGGGGTGACTCCAGTTAGGGTACTTATAACTCTACTTTATAACCTACTTACTAAGTCCCCTGGGCCTCCAAGTAGACCATAAACACCAAGCCCTAAACCCCAGACCCTACATGCTAAGAGACAGGGATCATCGATGTCCCAGTAGTCTTTGGTCATCGGCATCTTGGCCACGCGCTCTAGCACGCGCTCCTTGGAGCTCGAAGCTCCAGCAGCTGCACACAAGGAGCCCGAAAAGACCTGATTTCTTTTTGTGGAATGCCCGTATAAAGTTGAAATGCCCTTCTAGTCCGGACGATGATATAGTCTTGAAACTAGTCCGGACGATGATATAGGTCCTGAAACTATGGAGGGATCCTGAATGCAAGGTACATGAGGTTCGTAATGGTAGTAAGCTCCTTGTCCCCACCGAGCCTACGTAGTTGAGCCAATGGCAGCGGCAGCGGGCTTACTTCAAGGTACCGACTACCACCCTGAGATCATGATGCGGGCCACGATCAGTAGGTGTTGAAGATTTAGGGTTGGGGTTCAGGGTTTAGGTGTTTAGGGTTTAGGGGTGGGGTTTAGGGTTTAGGGGTTTAGGGGTGTAGGGTTGGGAGTTTGGGTTGGGGTTTAGGGTTTGGGGGGTTTAAAGTTTAGGGTGTAGGGGATTGCACAGAGGTGTTGATTGGCTCCCATGCTCGAAGATGATGTTGCTGGCCAGATGATGAGCATGAGGATGCGAAAAGGGGATGGGTGATGACGTAGGAGCTGAACATGAAGCTGGAGATACAGATTCAAGGGTGATGATGAAGTTGATGCTAATGATCTGATCTGTGATGACGATAAAGACGATGATGACGACGACGAGAAGGTGATGATGATGGTGATGATGGTGATGGCTGTGATGACAAGGGCAATGGTGATGATGAAGGCGATGGCTAATGCAACGGGAATGATAAGATCAATGCTAATGCGATGATAATTGTGATGGCAACGGAAAAGTAATGGTCATGGTAACGGTGATGCCGGTTGTCATGGCCATGCTGCGTAACAAAGATGAAAGTAAAGATGGTGACGATTATGATCGGGAGGAGAATGGTTCAATGATGATGAATTCAACATCACGCCCTGTATCAATAGAAGCAGGATCCTTTCGATCGGACGCAACATGAAGAATAGATATATCAGGAACACTGCAACTACGTATCATTTGGGCTCGGAGCCCGCATTTCGGAGTGCACACTGCAGACAGAATCGAAGCGTAAGCGCTACGCAGCTGAAGTCGGACACATCCAGCGCCGAACTGCAGAATACAGGGTGCTTAGGCCTTGCGGGCTGGTCTGACTTCAAAGCCCAGACTCGGCTAAGGGTTTAGAGTTAAGGGTTTGGGCTCGCATCGCACCACAGACATGTACTGATCCCAAAGCACCTGCATACGAGTGGCCAAAACACCTGCGAAGTATTCTCGTTACACATAACGGCCACGCTCTTTGAGCCTTGTGCTGACAGTAGAGTCCATGAGTCCTCAACTCTACAAACACTGAGCCCTCAGCTTGGCATTCTCACTCCTACACTCAACCCTCCCAACCCTTAGCTCAAAACGACAGGCCACACCCGAAACTCTGAAATACCCTAACCCTAAGCCCTAAACCTGAACCTGAGGGGGGCGGCACCAGCTTCTTGCGCATGAAGATGCCCAGGTAGTAGTTCGCCACTTCAGGGTCAGATAGGCTCGGATTCGGCTGGTCCTGGGGCTCAGGTTGTACGGTTTCGGGTTTCGGGTCTTAGGGTTTAGGGCCTTAAAATTTGGGGTTAAAGATTCAATGCTTAGCGCTCCAGGGCTGCGGCTTGGGGCTGCTGGGCTTTAGGCGTTTGTGGCTTTCAGGGTAGGGTGTTTAACTAGGTTGGCCCTTCGAAAGCCTCTGACAAACGTTGTAGATAAGATCCTCTTGAGCCCAAAAAGAGAAAAACACATCCCAACAGCCAGCCTACTTAAGCTTCGAGGATTTTTCGTAGGGTTTAGGGTTTAGGGTTTAGGGATCGGCTCTGGCTTGGCCTTAAAAGTTGGCTACTCGAAGTTTGCATGGCGTGGGGCTGAAAAATAGTTTGGGATTATGGCTTGGGTTCTAAAGACCTTAGGAAGGGCGCGGGGCCTTAAGAAAGGCGTTCTAAATTAGAAGGGGCGGGGCCTTAAGAAAGGCGTTCTAAATTAGAAGGGGTTTAGGGTTTAGGGTATAGGGTTTAGGGTTTAGGGTTTAGGGTTTAGGCGGTCTAAATTAAAAGGGGCTGCGGTCTTAAGTATGTAGATGGCCCAGCCTTTCAATTGACTAGAACGAACCGAAAATGCGAAGTATGGTAACCGCCTGAGCCAGGGGTTACGTGAAAGTGCCATTCCTGCACTCCCAAGACCCAGAAGCGGTAACGAGATTTCGAGCGTGCCTCTTAGGTCTTCGGTTGGAAGCCCCAAATTGAGTATGGTTATAGGGTTTAGGGTTAGGAGATTCGTGGGTGAGTAATGCAGGGGCCTTAATAATTAGAATATGTTTTTTTTTGGAGGGGGGGGCGGGGTAAATTATACTATAGTTATAATAGGGAACCCCCAATATAGTAGAGGTCATTAAAGGCCCCTACATTATGCAGGACCTTGGGATTAAAGCTCTGCAGGAGTCCACGACTTCGAAGGCTTCGTTTAGGGTTTAGGTGTTTACGGTTTGGGGTTTAGGCGTTCAGGGCTTTGGGTTTTCGGGTTTCGGGTTTTTAGGTTTAGGGTTTGGGGTTTAGGGTTTACGGGCTAGGGTTTAGGGCGTAGGTCTTGCATGCTGACCACAAGGACTGATACACGGGCAGCACCCCTCGCAGTCAAAGCCAAAGCAAACATGCAAGAGAACATCCGAGACCACTAACAACCCTAAACCTACGATCTAGACGCTGGCCCTAGACCCTAAACCGCCAGACATACACCCTAAACCCGAAAGCCTACACAGGAAACCCTAACCCCCAAAACCGTTACACCCGAAACCCAAACCGCTAAACCCCTACACCCGAAACCCTAACCCCTAAACCCCTAAACCCCTAAACCCTTAAACCCGAAACCCGAAACCCGAAACTCCGAAACAGAAACCGCTAAACCCTTCAACCGAAACCTTAAACCCGAAACTCCTAGACCCTTCAACCCGAAACCCGAAACCCGAAACCCCTAAACCCTTAAACCCTTCAACCCGAAACCCGAAACTCCTAAACCGAAATCGCTAACCCAAAAAACGGCAGAGCCCCGATCTCCTCCACTCCCCGGGAGCAGTGCACCATGCCGGGCATGTGCCCCTGGAGGCGGAAGCCCGAAAAAGCCTTAGGAAAAAGCGCATTTGGGGTTTAGAGTTTAAGGTTTAGGGTTTCGGATTTAGGCTTAGGGTTTGGGGTTTAGGGTCTCGGGTTTGGAGTTTGAGAGAGTTTCGGGGTCTTAGGGGTCTAGAATTTATGGCTGACGGCTTCAAGGCTGATAAGGCTTTAGCGATTGGGGCTCTAGGGGGTTTGAAGCTTTAGAGGCTTTTGGTTTATGGGTTAAACCCTAAACCCTAAACCCTAAACCCTAAACCTTAAACCCTAAACCCTAAACCCTAAACCCTAAATTTAGGGTTCAGGGTTTTACGGTTTTGGGGCCCTTGCAGGGTCCGTGGCATATAGATCATGTACTCTTCGAGAACTACCGACGTAGCCAAGTGGCTTCACCTTGAAGGTACCTTCAGCAACCTGAAACGGGGCTCATGATCAACAGAATCATCATAATCAGCCCTAAACCCTAAACCCTAAACCCTAAACCCTAAACCCCAGAAGCCCGAAGCCCTAAACCCTAAACCCTAAACCCTAAACCCTAAACCCTAAACCCTAAACCCTAAACCCTAAACCCTAAAGCCCTAAACCCTAATGAATCCCCGAGCACCTCAGGCGGCCTCGGGCCTTGCC